CTAAACATTAATTATGTAACATTTTACTCAATTAATAAAGATCACGAGAAATGCCTCACTTAACACTTTAAAAAAATAACTAGAATATATTAATTATTTGTTTAGAAATAAGTAACTTTTTTACATTTTTATAATTATATTTAAATTATTTGTTATTTATTTATATTTAATCAATACATTGTTATATTATGTAATCAATTACCTCTCATATTTTATTTTTTTTGAAAAAATTAAATTTGTTCAATAATTATATATGAATTTTCTTAAATGATCCAATATAAATGAAATAATGCTTTAACTTATTAAATTTTGATTATTTCTTTGATTAATGTATTAGTGTTAAGTAATATATAGATCTTTCAAGTAAAATATTTAATAATTCTAATATAAATTACTGTTACTCTGCGGTTGTACATGAAGACAATAATATTTTAGTAATAGTCAAAAAAAAACAAAAAAAACGTAAAATCGGAGTCAAATATTGTAAATTGTACTTCATCTATTCCATGATCTTATGTTCAATCAAAGTCTTTTTTGATTTTTCATAAACGCCTAGGAATATGCTCCCACCAATGGAAATCCACAGAACCCGAGGCCAAATTCCCAGAAAGAATGCTCTCGGGCCTTCTTCAGATAATATCCTGTTAAAAGTGTTGAATATTCCTGAATAATTGTGCACACTCTGTTTCTGCAAAATATTTTGACATGGCGTTAAGGTACTTCTAAAGGGCAAATAAATTCGAAAATATACTATATATATTTATATTCGTTAACTCTTACTTTTGCAGACAACATCAACCTGGTCTTGATAACATCAAGTGGAGTCGTAATAGCTGCCGCTGTTCCACCAGCGATAGAACCGCAAATTGCAGCCTCCCAAGGTTCAATATACCTTTTCTGAGTGCGTTTTGCCAACACGACCTTTAGATATTCGTATAGAGGAAATTGGAGACATGTAAAAGGTATCTAGGTATCGCATGTGAACGTCCAATCAAAGTCATTGGTTAATAAATGCGAGTTTCCTAGCTTCGGATGTGATAATACTAACTTCTCTAAATACTGTGCTTAAAAATCCGCGATAAAAGCCAAAGAATCCCTCCTCTTGATAAATCGTTCTGACGGCTAAATACATCGAAGAATAGAGTTTTGTTTGCATTCTTGATTTTATGACTTCAGTTGGAGTACGGATAGTGCATGCCGCCTTTATAATGTGAATGTTTCAAATGTTCAATAATCACGTGAAACGAACACATAACGCGTAACGAATATAAAATATACCTACAATCTCGCCGCCAGAAGCAGCCGTCATGTGAATTAAAGGAAGATATCTATTGTCGAGAACTCCGACTCCGAGAACATATTTCAGGTATTCGTATGAAACAAAAAAATGCTGATGCTGATGATAATTGATCAAGGGATAATATGAGAACAAAAAAAGAAACAAGAAAAACTCATTTTACAAAATAACAGGTTAAATTATTACAAAACCTCCTGGTGCACTCCCGATGATAACACTTGTAAGTCCTGAATAAATTCCACGAAAACCTCCCGAAGAATGAAACCCTGCTTTTGATTGTAGTCGAGTTTTTAATGTATCTAAAGGATATAGAATTATGTCTACTGAAGTCCCTGCTATGCCGCCTGCCTTTCATGAAAATTCGCAATAAGGAATAAAATAAATAATAATTTAATATTATTAAACCAATAGGTAGTTTACCACAAGAGCCTGCTTAAAATTGATATTATATCCTATTCTTTGAATTTCTCGTTTTTTTTCCTCCATAAACCATAAAGAAAATTAAACGAGATGCTTTTTGTGCTACGTCTGATCAATCAAAATCAGCTTTTTTCGTTAATTTTAACGATAAATGACGCTTCGACTTCCTTTCACTAAGTTACTTCACCATCCTAGTAAAAACATCTTGATCCTTGTATTTGGAGCTCATTTTCAAGCTTTGGATACGAGGTTATTATTATTCTTTTTCTTACGACACAATTAATAAAAAAATTAACAAAATTTGCAATTGTAGTACAGGTTCATTTATAGTTTCCACCCGAGCTTTAAGTTCCGAACTTTCAACTCCTATATTAAAATACATTTCACCTGCCGATGCGCATGCCGCGCCTATAAGAGCAATTTCTTTTTGTGACAAAATACAAAAAGGTGTTGGATCTTTGCTCGCGACAAGCTGTGAAGATAAACTGCTAAAAATTTGGAATATCGATTCAGGGTGGGATCTAAAAAGTACGAGGTAAGCGTAAATTTTTCACGAATCAAAAAATTGCTTATAACAATTCTTTTTTTTCTTTTTTACACTGCTTCAGGCCTGTTGCAAAACGAGCTGTTTCCATCGCTTTTGATGCACTCGCTTCACGAGTGATTACAGCCGATAAATTTGGTGATGTCTTAAGGTAAAAAGCGAGAAAAAGTTTGGTATACATTTAACATTCAATTTTGTAACTATAAATTATTAAGCTATCCTTTAGAGCTGCCGGATAATGAGTGTACTTACGATTTGCTCTTAGGACACGTCTCTATGGTCACGGATATGGTAAGTTGGTTTCTCTAATATTGAAAATAATTTATTTAATTTAAAATTACTAGTTTTTATATCTATTAGGTATTGTCCCATAATAATAAATATGTAATCACTGCTGACCGTGATGAACATATACGTGTTAGTCGATATCCAAAAGGATATGAAATCGAATCTTATTGCTTGGGTCATACGCAGTATGTGAATGAATTTGTCGTTATTTTTTAAATCTATGAATGACTCACGTAATGAGCGACTTATCATTTAGATTCTTATCAAAATTACATATATTACCATGGGATACCAATCTTTTGCTTTCAGCTGGAGGTGATGACTTTATTGCGTTATGGGATTACGTACCAGGAACATTAATTCAAGAACTTAACATCAAAAAACTAATAGAATCACAGGTAGAACATTAAGTTATATTTTAATTATTTCTCCTATTTAGCTAATGAAATGTTGATTCGAATGTGATAGATGAACGATGAAACAATAGAAAATTCAGATATTGCTTCTGATGATACCGAATATTTATCTAAAGCCATTGCAGTCTCATCATTAGTATGCTGTAAAGTTTTACAACATATCGCTGTAATTATAGAAAAGTAAGTTTTGTATTTAGATACGACTACTTTTCCATACAATCATCACCGACTCACGTTGTAACGTGTGTTATTGAAAGATTCCCTGGCGTTATAATTTTGCGATGGGATTATGAACAACGTTGTATTACATACAAGCAAACTCTAACACTTTGCAACAATCCGCTGGACATATCGTACGATCTTCGAGGAAATTTATGGGTTGCGAGTTCAGCTGAAGAATTAGTTACAATCTTTTTAAGACGTGGTGATGAGGTAGCCTACGTTTTTTTTAAGATTGTCATTTTAATGTATTCCGAGGTTTTTGTTTTTTTTAGTGACTTCTTGCATAATATAGTATGTGAAAGCCTCAGTCGATCATCCCTTGGTCCATCAAATAAACACGTTTGGGTCAATGACAGGTAAAGTTTATTAGCATGTTTTATAATTTAATTGAAAATTAACAATTAATTTATTTATAAACAGTCGATGCTCTTCCCGACTTATATACCATTGGTCAGCTTCGCAAAGAACCTACTGATTGGCGAGAACTAAAAAAAGATGAACAGGAGGATAAAGATGACGATAGCTCGCAGTCTGTGGATAGTTTAGAGAAGTCACCAAAAAAGAAAAAGGCAAAGCACGTGGATGATAGAAAGAATAAACGAATCAAATCCGAATAAATAGGAACTAAAGAGTCACGAAATTTTATTACATTTAATCCATCTTTTTTCGGTAATGATGTTGCAAGATGCAAGATGCTTGTTTGGAGAATTAGAATATTTTTGTTATTCAGATGGATTACATTTACGTTTCAACCTTTTTAATATTCAAATTCCAATGAATTCATACAAAAAAATTTAAATAAATAAATATAATAAGATTATTAAAATAAGTTATAAATATATTTTTAATTTTTTTGACAAACAATTTAAAGTTTAATTAAAGATTAAATAAATAAAAAATTTTAAAACAAAAACAACAATAATACTAATACAATAGTTTTAAAAAATTTTCATATTTAAAATTTAAATCAGATTAATACTGTATATTAATAATAAGTATATCAAATATAATTAATATATTAGTTTAATGTAATTAAAATATCAAATATTTATTATAAGTAGGGCTCCAAAAAGTACTAAACTGGTATCAAACTGGTATTAAAATGGTACTGATCTATAGTAAATTTAATATATGGGTTGTGACCTACTCATATGAATTTATAATAAATTTAAGTATTGAATTGGTATCAAAATAATATTGAAGTGGTATTGTTAGAAGTCCTAATTATAGTCAAATGTAATTATAATAAATAAACAAATTTTTTAAGTTAATAATATAATATTAAACAAAAAAACTCTTTTCTACTTCTTCTTCTACACTTGAAAATTTTCTTATTAAAAAATTTTTGAATTGTTTACTTTTTTTTTATTTTTTCCTTTCCCTTCTCCTTTACTTTTCCTTTTCTATACCTTTTTATTTTCCTTTTTCTATTTTCTTTATTTTCTTTTATATACTTCTTTATATATTCCACTCCTTTTTTTTCTCTTTTTCCTTTTCCTACTAAAGTTAAATTTTCCCTTTTTCCTAAAGGTTTTTTTTCTAGGTTTCTCTTTTTTTTATAAATTCTGCTTTTTATAATATTATTTCTCTGATTAGTTGACTCTTTTTTCTCAAAAATCATATTCAGAAGTAATAACTTCTCTCAAGATATGAGCTTCAAAAATTTTCTTTTTTCCATGGCCTTAAAGAAAAAAGATGGATGACTTATTCTCTTCAAAAGATTAACATAGTCATTATTATTAAATCTAATATTGTTTACTCATTAATGATTAGACTAAATATATCTAAAAAACCAGTATACAACTATTATTATTCAAAAGTATCCAAGAAGTTACACTCCATTGTATTAAGAAAATATGGTAGCCAATACCAATGTAGCTAACAATAAGCTAGATTAATTTACAGGTATTATATTAATAATTAGGGAATTTAGTAGGATAATATATAAAGATCAGAGATTCTAGTTACCTCTACAATATAAACTGATGATGACAATCACTTACTCTTTCAACAATATAAGCTCATTATACAAGATTAGATATTAATATCTTTAAGAAACTCCAATCTTACTATATGTTTAATATCCTCCTTAATAAATTATTATTCTATATTTAAACTTTCTCTATATTTTTTGATTCCAGCTTATTCTAAAATCAAAACATATCCTTCAAAACTACTATAACAATAAGATTAATTGCTGTCTCTCAACTTATAGTCTTAGTGATAAGTTTTAAAATAGAGAGTCTATACTAGATAACAATAATAAAAAATTAATGTTACCAAAGAATTGCTTTGGTAATAAAGATGATTATTGTTTTTTAGCCTTTAGTTCTAGTAATAGATTCAAATAGCGGATTATTATTAGATTCAAATGGTAAAAAACTAGCTTTATTTTAATATTGTTTGGATTATACATGTTGCTAAAATTTATAAATTCTTGATACAATTATTTGAGTTACTATTAAAACATATAAATAATTAAGTCATAATATAATTATTTTTGAGAATTTTGGAAATTGGGTCAATAGCAAATAATTTATATTACATATATAGTTTTGATTTAATATAGCTTGGAACCAATTCTTGTCTTATTTGTTATATATCAAGCCATATTTGAAAAACAAGTATGCTAATTCTAGTTATGACTTGAAGGTCAACCTGTATATAATAGCTGTAATACCTTCATATGATTAAGTAATCAAATTTTTTAGGTAGCTAGACACCATTCAAGATATAATATAGGTTTTGAATTTTCTTTTTCTATATTCTTAAGTGGTACTATAAAGCTCAGATGAATAGGCTACAATTGTTAAGTCTTGCATTAAATTTCTCCTAGTAAAAAAAGATGTATACTATACCATAAGTTATAAATCTTGTATTCACAAGTCTTAAATTTATAATAAAAATAATATATGAGGACTGCCTGTTCCTTCAAAAAAAATAATATTAAAATAATATTAAAATAAATTCATTTTTTTTGAAAACAATTTTTTTTAATAGATAAACATTATTTTTTTATTTAATTTGTATACAATAAGATATACTGTATATTATAAAAAAATTAATATTTCTTATATATAAAATGTAACAAGTTAAATATTAGCTTGTCTACTTTACAATATTTAATTAATATTGAAAAAAATTTTAAAAGCAATATTAAAATATTAGATAAAGAAGTAGTACCTACTTGATAAATTTTGTGAAATTTTTTAAATTTTTTTTTTTTTTTTTTCGGAGCACATGCCTACCCCGCCCTCCTTTCTTATTATACTCTTACCCCTCCCGGGTCCCACCCCTCCCC